TGCCCGGAGCATGGCCTCCTCAAGAGCGATAACAGGCTCTAATTGAACCCTCTCTTGCTACACTTAATTTTGTCACTACCATCTTAGTCTGAGAACAGTCTTCTCCAAGCATAGCCTGTTTGAAGAAGGCTAGTAGGATATGGATATGGGGGGTCCATGTGGATTGATAATTAAGATCAATGGACAAATATATTAGATAGTTATCTTAGACATATAGATAGATAGACAGAGAGACAGACAGACAGACAGATAGATAGATAGATAGATAGATAGATAGATAGATAGATAGATAGATAGATAGATAGATGCCAAGGAGAGATAGAGAATCAAAGGAGAGCTGCATATAGCTATAATCTTCCTAGCATGCAACCTGTGCCAGTGATACTCCTAAAGTAAGCCAGCAATGGATTCTTAAAAGAAAAATTCTGCGGGATCCAGTCATAGCCATTTTGAAGGGTTCAGTTAGAATTAGTGGAGGAGGAAAATAGGGCGCATCAGCAATCCCTTTTTTTTCTGACAAAAAAATTACAGTATTTTGGGGCTACAAATTCTGCCAGTCATGCCACCTGAAAAAATATTTATTAACTGTTATCAATCAAATGGAAGTATATTCGGGGTGCTGCTGCTGCCTGTAATTCATCAGCCATAATACACTGCCCTTGACTTGATCTCCCTTAAAACAATGGTTTGTGCTTCAGCCTTGCAGCACGGAGGGTCACAAGTTCATATTCTAGTCAGGACACTATCTGCATGGAGTTTAAATGTTCTTCCTGTGCTTGCAAGGGTTTCCTCCGGGTACTCTGGATTACTCCCACATGCTGGTATGTTAATTGACTTGTCTAAATTGCGTAGTATGTGTGTCTGTGCATGTGAGATAGGGACCTTAGATTGTATGCTCCTTGAGGACAGGGACTGATGTGAATGAATAGTATGTTAAGGGCTGCGTAAATTCACTAAGCTATTTAAAAACCTGCAATAAATAACATAATTAAATGCCTGTTCCTAAATACCATATACAGCTTTAAGGCAATCCTAAAACATGTTATTTGTAATATTTGTGTATTTTCCATGTCACCCTCAAAGCAATGAATGGGACCCTGCTCCTGCTGTGATTATTTTTTTCTGAAGCTTTTTGGCATTGTCACAGGCTCCCCACGGCAGTGCCCAGTTTGCTATGACTTTTTTTTAAATAATTTGCCTATCAGCTTTGGAAATTTAAAATTCAGTATCAATTCCCCCAACCCCCTCCCCCTCTGTAGACTTCAATGGCATTTGCTTTGAAGTGCGCATTTTAAACAGGATTCAACAAGCCCTCCGACAAACCTGAGCAGATTTGCCAATCTCTTATTATAAGGCTATGGGCCAAATTAATACAAAATCTTAAAAAAATAAGAACTATAGTGGATTTATTGCCAATAGCACCCAATCAGACTTCATGTTCAATATTTCCATGAAATGAAGGGTATTTTTGCTATTGGCAAAGCTTCCTGTTTCATCTCACTTTCCATCCATCTAGTTTTTATGACTTCAATAGCTGCCAAACCAAATTGTTTCTTTTCAGAAAATTCAAGAGGGCCTTCATGGTTTCACGGTTATTTTAATACACAGCCAGCATGATATCCGAAACAGTTAATGAAACATCCTACAACGGTATCCTTTTCCTGTATGTCAGACCGGTACAGGATTGGAGTTTGTGTATTCAGACGTCAGACATAAAGTCACATCAAATCTACATTTGCAGGATTTTTGGTACTTTTGGTGAAGAATGAACATCTTCGTATTGCCTTGTCTTCTTAACTTCAAAGATAATCAGGATGTATATTCAAAGAAGCAGGCTGTATATTTTTACCTTGTTGTATGTTTGGTTTTATCAGTATAGGCCAATGATCATTTTACCCCTCTTTCTAAAATTTGGAGGAATAAGTGGAGTAGTTAAATTACTGTGAATATTGGGCAGGGCTTAATAGAGGCTGAACCTACTTAAGTACACATCACTCATGGATGCCTGAAGGTTGACACCTTTTTTCACAGGCTTTGTTGGTCAGTGGATTAACCCCACTCTCCCCCATGCCTGGTATTGGTTGTAAGTAAGGGTTCCTACCTCCTTTAACAGCATTGGTTCTCAGCAAAGTTTCTCCCCCGCCAAAAAAGCATGTGGTCATTGGTGGTTTCCTCCCTCCCATACAAAAGCATTGGTGGTAAATGGTAGTTTATCCCCTCCCCGCCAAAAGCTGTTTGGGGGGAGTGGTGTAAGCCCCACTGACCACTAAGGCATTGGTGGTCAGTGGTGCTTTCCCCTTTCCCCCAAAGGCATTGGTGGTCAGTGGTAGTTTACTCCCTCCCACCCCAAAGGCATTGGTGGCCAGCAGTGTTTCCCACTTCCCCCCCCAAAGGCACTGGTGGTCAGTGTTAGTTCATAACCTCCCACTTCAAAGGCATTGGTGGATACTGGTGTTTCCCACTCCCCCCAAAGGCACTGATAGTCAGCGTTAGTTTACTCCCTCCCGCCCCAAAAGCATTGTTGGTCACTGCTGTTTTTTCCCCTTGGTGTTCAGTAGGATGAACCGCAGAGCCAACTTACCTGTGGCCTGCACCGCTGCCTGTGTGGTAATATCGCCGCCTGTACTATGCTCATACTATATGAATGAGATGCATCTTTATTTTACTCTAAGCTTAATGAAAAAAAATCCTGCTTGCTGATATCAAAGGGCTGATTTCCTAAAGACAAATTGGAGCAAAGAGGGGAAGCTGCCAAAGCTACCCAGGCAGATTTTCCCATAAAGGAAAACTCTGCTTTTGTTGCAAAAAAATAATATAGCAGCTGAAAGTGCTACACGAGCCATTTTGTAATTAAATGTTATAAAAATTGCCTTTTTCATTTCAATCGGAATCCGCTCTACTTTTCTAAAACTGTCTAAAAAAATTCAATGCAATATGACAACCTGGAGGCGGTTTTTACACCGCCTACAGAACGCACCCAGAAATGTCATTTCTTGCTTGTATGATTTTCCAGCAGTCTGCGCTAAAGCTCCCCACACACAATCTGATTGTATAATCTCTGCTAGATCTACCAAGTATGTAGTGCAAGGGCCTACCAGATTGTATTCAGTTGATTAGATAGATTAGGTAGGTCGTCATTGTACATGGTTTTGGTAATTATACAAAGATCGTATGATCAGATTGTAACGTGTATGGTGAGCCTAAGATGTAAGTAACATTTTAGACATCCCCTGCAATAGAAATTTCATTTTTTGCGAGATACACTTGAGGATTAACTACTTCTAAAGGGATTCAGGCACTGCAGCTTTCCTCAGCAGAACACTCAGGGCTAGTTCACACCAGCCACAGTGCGTTTTGGCCCGATTCTGGCCAGAACGCACTGGATCGCATTGCGGCCGGCTAACTTTCTTGTGGGGTGGGAGGGGGCGTGGCAGTGTATCGAACTCAATGGCACCTTAGCCACACCCTCCGGCCGCAATGCAATCGGCCGCACGGGAATGCAAGGCACATTAATGCCTGTGCTCCGGTTAGAAAAAATGCTGCAAGCACTATTTTTTCTGTCCGGACCAGAACACAGGCATTGGTGTGCCACGCGTTCCTGTGCGGCCGATCACATTGCGGCCAGAGTGCGTGGCTGCGGTGCCATTCACTTCAATGCACCGCCACACCCCCTCCCGCCTCACAACAAAGTGAGCCGTCCGCAATGCGATCCAGTGTGTTCCGGCCAGAATTGGGCCAGAACACACTATGGCTGGTGTGAACTAGCCCTGAGTGTGAGTATAATGGACCCGACTCTCCCATCCAGGAATTAGTCTGGAAAGGAAATGATGGAGAAAACAGCTTTGCTATACATGTAAGAGTTGACATGTGTGCCACTGCCGAGATGGTGCTAAGGCTCAGGTGAGGGGCTTAAAGAGTATGAAACTGCAATTTTTTTCTAATTTTGGATAGAACAAGGAAGTGTTGGATCCTTTGTCAGGTTTTTATTGCTGTCTGTGTGCCCATTAGGGAGACTGTCCCAGTAAACATTATCTTGGAGACAGAAAGTGACGGGAAATACAAAACCTTCGAGTTGTCATCAGAGTAAGGAGTGGGGAAAACCCTTAGAAAGGAACAGCTACTCCCATGACAACTTTCATAGATGGGATATCGTTGCTCTTCTAAGAGATTTCCTCTCATTTCATGTGCTGTCTCCAAGACAGGAAGTAAAATAAAATATCACATGGGACACAAACAGCAAAAATGATCTGCAACAGAGTTTATTAAAGAAGAACTCTGGGAATTTATAAAATTTCCCCTTGCAGTGGGGCTACCCCTGCATTGCAAGGGTTAAGTGCTTATGTTGTCTAGGGAGCTCAAATATAGTGGATTTACTCACTCGATCCTCGGTCCCACTAGGCTGCTAGACTAGTCCCCATAGCCTCTTCTCCCGGAGCTAAGGACCGCTGACGTCTTATGAAGGTCAATTAACTGGTATTAGACGTGAGGATGCCAAGGGACATACAGTCTTATGAAGGTCAAATAACTGGTATTAGACGTGAGGATGCCGAGGGACATACAGTCTTATGAAGATCAAATAACTGGTATTAGACGTGAGGATGCCAAAGGGACATGCTGCAGCCCGAGCAGAGGGGGGAGAGAGGTGAGGGCTGACCACTGCGGGACCGGGGACCGGATAAGTATATCTGCTTTATTTGACTCTCCTAGACAAAGCTAGCATTTAACCCTTGCAGTGCGGGGGTATCCTCACTGGAAGGGTAAGTTTTTTAAAATTTCTGGAGTTCTTCTTTAAAATCCTTGTAATATACATTGATTACCTGGAGGGATTGCTTGCTTTCTCTCAACATAAGTGGAGTTACACTTTAAGCACCAGGTTTCATCCTCTGGACAATTAATAGGGTCAAGTCTGTTCTGTAACAATTCTCATGCACATATAGAATTATGAGATGAGAGTTCAGAAGCACAGATACTGGATATAAAATGAACACTGGATCACTTACCCTCTCAGAGTTTCGCAGTTTGCTAGGTGCACGCTGGTAGGTCTCCAGGGAGTGTGGCTATGTCCTCCAGGATTTCGGTTACACAAGGTCCAGGCTTGTCCGTGATGTGGCAGAAAACATGAATCTCTGGACACAGCTGGAACAGTCAGCCACAACTGTTGGATCCTCTACAGAAGACTTGGGAACCTGCCAGACTGGGCATGTCATAGGAGCGAGATGTCAAAAAGAGGATGAACATTCATACGGGGCAGATCCCCCATTGTTACTCAGCACCAGGGTCTTCACCAGAGACCCCGAGAACAAGGAGATCGCTGTGTGTGAGCGTCTTGCTGCTGACTGCCAAATAAGCACATCTGGAGTTGTTTCAGAACGTGCATTCTTCTTGCCTCACCCCCTAAATAAAATCTGAGCTTAAGCCAGGCAGCCAGAGGCAGGACAGGACTTGCATGGCTGTCTGGATTCAGAGCGAACTTACATATCAGCAATGTGGCATGTCATCTGTCCTTTTTTTGGGGGGGGGGGCTTTTTTGGTCCTGATAACCTTTATTAACCCAATAATGACTGCAGCACAATAGCAAGCTGGTCCACTCTGCATCAGTCCTCAGATCAATGTTTCTGTTTAACCACTTCATTACCAGGCAATTTTGTAGTTTTCATTGCCTTGATAGTTTGGCCGAGAAATACTCAGTCATGTAACACTGTAACCAAATTCATTTTATATCATTTTTTTAGACATACAGACAGCCTTTTAATGAGGCAGTTGCCTCAGGTGGCATCTCATTGGGTCACGGGGGAGGGCGGCCTTTCTGGTCAGAGCGTCCCAGGTTGCTAAGAGCTCTTAGGAACCTAGGACACTCTGGCCGGCGTTCCCCCCAGCTCATTGACGTCACTGGTTACCAGGAGCTGATCAGGATGTTCTGGGTGGCGTTCCGCCCAGTTCCTGGCAACCAGTGACGTCAGTGAGCTGGGTGGGATGCCAGACAGTGTCGGAGCCAGAGCCAACCCCCCTTCCCCAATAACGTGCACCACCAGCAATGTGCACCACCAAACAAGGGGGTTGATGTGCAGAATAAAGGAGATAAAGGGTTAATATACAGATGACAGTACAGAGTAATGATGGAGTGCAATAGTTTAGGAGATGAGGAGCAGTGATGGTCCGAACACACCCGAGTTTGGTTCAAATTCGTACTTTAGAACATGGAAAAAGTTGGAAACTCAAACTTGAGCTCAATGCAAGTCTATGCGACCAGAACTGGGAAAATCAATTGTCCCCTTTTGAAGGCTTATATGCAAGTTATTGGCCGTTTTTAAAGGAGCAGTGATTTTAACATTGCTTAAAGTGAAACAATAAAAATGAAAAATGCCTTTAAATATCGTGCCTGGGGGTTCCCCTTAAACTTCCTGTAAAGTGGCGCATCTGTACGATGTATAGAACCTACTACAGCAAAAAGTGACATTTATAAAGAAGAAAAAAAAGCAGGCAGATCCCCCTTCAAAACAATACCAGACCCTTTAGGATACTGGGAGGATGCTTTTCCAGGGTCGCCCCTGAAAAAGCACCATTGCCCCCGTGCTGATTGGGACAAGGGCTTCTTCCCCACAAGCCCTGGGGCGTTGGTTGTGGGGGTGCGGTCAGGGGGCTTATTCGTATCAGGGTACCCCTTTAATATAGGGGCACCCAGATGCGCCCCCCCTTCCAGTGAATGAGTAAGGGGTACTTGTATTCCTACACATTCACTAAAGGGTTAAATAAAAGTTGAATAAAAAGTCCAGACTTTTAGAAAAAAATTCTTTAATTGAAAAAAAAACCCACAACAAAGGCTTTTGTTGTGCGGTGCGCAGTGTCTTGTGGGAGGCTTGGTGGGTGAACAGCCCACCGAACGCCCTGATAGTTTGTGTGTTCGGCGAACACACAAACTGCCGATGCTCAAGTTGCGCTGTTGGTCGACTCGAACATCGGGACCATCCCTAATGAGGGGCAGTGGAAGGATTAAAAAGGATCTGAGCCACTGAGAATCAATGAATATCACCTGCCGGAGTGGTGTTACCGCTTACCGGGTACAGCTACACATGTGAGAGTTGACATATGCGCCAGGTGAGGGGCTTAAAATGTATGTAACTGACGTTTTTTTCTAGTCTGGAATAGAGTGGTGAAGGATTGGACCATTTGTCAGGTTTATATGTTTAGTACCCCCGTATTGCCATGGTTAAGTCTTTGTCTAGGTGCTTAGAAATAAAGTTATACTCACCCGAATCGCAGAGCCAGCTGGCTGCTATTCCAGTCACTAAAGCCTCACTCCCCCTCCGCTGAAGCAGTCTAAGGATCGTTGCGCCATCACCTTCTATACACAGTGTAAAGGACGTGAGGACGACAGGCTTCAGGGACCGGAGTAGCAGCCAGCAGGTGATATAACTTTTTCTTAGCACCTAGACAAAAAGACAATAGACTGCAGTGTCCAGGAACAACAGTATCAATACCCTGAAAAAGGGATAGCTCCAATCCCCCAAAACACATTGGTGATTTGTTTTATGTCCATTTAATAACACAATAAAGCTATGCGTGGATTATGTATGGGGCAAAATAAAAATACATTTCATATTAGCAGTAATATAATGTGCTAAAACAACAATGGCCTCACCTGTCAAGACTCTGTGGCCACCCTTACCAACAACCACCTCTCTGGCCACACACATCTTTCAAGGCTCTTAATGCTATCATCTACCCAGGCACTGTTACCACCTACACCTGATAAAATCTTCACCTGTAATGAGGCTTTCTGGCCACCATTGTCCCCAACACCACCTTCATCTGCTAAGTCGCTGCTAGATGTAGAGGGCAAGGCATTCTACAATGTCTTAGCCTCACCCATCACCAACTTTTCTATTAACTCCACCTGACAAACCCCTTTATACCATCATCCGCCAAGGCTCTGTTGCCATCCTTACCTACAACACCATCTGCATCTTGCAATGTTCTATGGCTAGCTATATATACAACACTAGCCACATAAGGTTACCCTAGGGCAAACCTTGCCCACAACCCCACCATCTGATGAGGCCAAGTGGCTGGTCTTATCAACGCATGCCTAAGCTTAGCAACACTCAGCAGCCTTTCCATTAACGCAACCTATATCTGGAATCCTCCATAGCACTGTGGCCGGCTCACTCAACAGGCAAGGCTCTGCGGGCAGTCTTGACATCAGTACCACTCACAAGGCTCTGTTGCCATCCTTACCCAACTGCTTACCTTTACCCACATCTTGCTGAACTGGACCGCGTACTCACCAGAACTGGACCGCGTACTCACCAGAACTGGACCGCGTACTCCATTATTAGCCTCAGTACCATCCACATCATTTACTATTAACACCACCAGCCCTTGAATTACATTAGGGCTGTCTTACACATCTTGTAGGCACCTACACTATGTTTCAAGGAATTGCCATTGGAACTTTAACACTTACACTGGCTGAATTTGATCCTTTGGACTCTTAGCTGGTATGAGACCTTACTAGCCCTTTGAACCACAAGCACATTTGAGTGGTAGCTGGACCACAATGCACAAATTTCAAAATAGAAGAAACAGCCAGCTTTGGATTACTACTGGAGGGCATATGTCAGATTTTAATTTATAGCCTGGTGTTTACAGAGCAGTTACCTTACACACTGCACCACAGAGCTAACTGGTGCCTAGCCCCACAAAGAAGTGGGTGATAGCCCAGACATGCTTCAGTCCACAGTATCAAACCCAACTGCTGGTTTGTAATATTCCTAATATGTCCGCTCAGAGGCATAGCATATAAGGCAATGACTCTGCAAACACCGGGTAGTGACTTTGAATCCTGGATGTGGCCTAAGTTGCAGTTAAAATATAAGTTTCTGTATGAAGCCAAAGCAATAAAAAAAGTAATTAGATCGATGTGGCCTTTTGTTATTTCTTTCTTACACTCTGCAATTTATGTTGTTCAAAAAAACACACTAATCATCTTTGGTTGAAAAAGCTAGTTAGGTATGCTGAGTACGAGAGCTGAGTATGAAGCTGAGAATCCACAGGATCAATTCCAGCTGTTGGTTGGTACTATTCCTGCTAACACCTCATTTTTTTGGTTGTGGGTTCTGATCTGGGAGGCTGCCAAAAAAACTAAAATGCAATGTGGCCTTGGTCCCCAGATCCCTGGAGGCTACAGAGGTTTAGCACTCTTTCCATGAGTATCGGTGACTATGCTATGATAGTTAGTGTATAGTTGAGGGAGCTCAGGACCCTACTAGATGTCTGTGTAGGTATGGTACTGTTGTCTGTGATATAAACTGCATGTAGGACCTTACTAGATAGGGTGGTCCAAAATACACGATGATGTGGGTACAGGTAGCCGCAGACAAATGTAAGCAAGGGTAAGGGTGGCAAGCTGGTTGCTAATGTGAAGGAAGGTGTGGGAAGGGTGGCGACAGAGCCTTTGCAGAAGGATGGTGTTGTGAGTAATGATGGCCAGCTGAGGGTGTTGTTGCAAATAAGGGTAACCAAAATGGGGTGGTCCAGTGGGTAAGGGTGTCAGGGGGTCAAGTTTATATGTTGTCGGGGGCAAGGGTGTCCAGATGTAGGGTGGCCAGATGGGAGTGTTGCTGTGGGTAAGGGTGGCTGACAGAGCAATGGCAGATGAGTCTAGTGTTGTACGTAAGGGTGGAAAGCTGAAGGTGGTATTATAGGTATGGATAGCCACAGAGCCATGACATATACAGGTGAAACTCGAATAATTAGAATATTGTGCAAAGTTCATTTATTTCACTAATGCAACTTAAAAGGTGAAACTAATATATGAGATAGACTCATTACATGCAAAGCAAGATAATGTAAGCCGTAATTTGTCATAATTGTGATGATTATGGCTTACAGCTCATGAAAACCCCAAGAACCCCAAATCCACAACCTCAAAAAAGTAGATTATTACATGCAATCAATAAAACAAGGATTGTACATAGAACAATATCGGACCTCTGAAAAGTACAAGCATGCATATGTACTCAGTACTTGGTTTGGGCCCCTTTTGCAGCACTTACTGCAATTACTTTTGCACGATATTCTAATTATTCGAGTTTCACCTGTAAGCGTTGGCATTGTGAATAAGGGTGACAAGCTGGAGGTTTTGTTGTAGGGTGGCCAGATGGGAGTAAGGGAGGCCACTGAGTCATGGGAGGGTGGTGTCGTGGCTAAAGATTTTGGCACTGCAATCAAACTCTGGTGCTGTTGGGTAAATTTGTCCACCCAAAACTAATTGTGGTAGC